ACAGGAAATGAGGTTTAGATAATGGATGGATGGATGTATAAAAACATCTGAGACTCCCTTACATTCACCTCCTTCAAGAAATCCCTCAAAACTCACCTCTTCATCACTGCCTACAACCACTAACTCCCTCCCTCCCTACATTACTTCTTCATTGTACTGTCCTCGTCTTTTTTTGTTTTGTTTTATTGTTTTATGTTTTTGTCAAAGCGTCTTTGAGTTTTCAGAAAAGCGCAATATAAAACCAATGTAGTATTATTATTATTATAAATATGTTATACTGCTGTAATGTATATAAGAGCAACTGTGGCCTCTGAATTTACCCCAGGGAGACGATTGAAGCATTTCTGATTATACGTTGAAGAAGATTTCATGCAGTTGGAGAAGACACATTGGAGTTCATGTGAAAAATTAGAGGCCAAAGAAGGAGCTATGCAGCCCTGCCACCTGAACAGTAGTGACACTAAGCAGGAGTGTGTGTGTGTGTGTGTGTGTGTGTGTGTGGGGGGCCACAGGTGAAGGTGCTATGTGGCTGGTGATGGCATGAAAAGTCTCTGTCAGGGGTCTCTATTGGACCAGAGAAGACTTTACTTTGCAAAGGATGAAAGTGCAATGTGTCATCTGATTAAGCTGTTTCCTCTGAATAAAGCGATGGTTTCTCTACTACTTCTCTGCCTTCTTGAAAAGGTGCAGAGAAATGAGAGCCTGTGTGTTGGTTAACAATTACAGCATATTGCTAGTCTGGGGGCTGCTGAGTCCTGCTACCCCGACTTATTTACCATGAAAGTCTTGTTTGCTCCGTGTTAATGGCTGTTGACTGCTTGGAGGAGCATGTGGTTTGTCTGTGCGCCTGAGGCAGCAGCAGCAGCAACAACGACTAGTCCTTCCCTCCCTTTCCCCTCGTCCATCGATCCACCGTGACTCTGCAAGGAGCCAGATGAAAACCTCTCGCTATGATTTATGGGATGTCATATCCAGGGGAACTGGTGGAGGCCCTCCCTCCAAACGTTTGTTTGAGGGAGTAGCTTGCCCCAGGGCTGAACCTGTTCCCCCTGGGTCCTAGTGCCCAGTATTCCTTACTACACCAGGGACGAGGAAACAAGCAAAGTTTAATGGCCGACACTTTGCATTATAGTGAAATTCCAATATCCATGAATTTATTTTATAGAGTTACTTGTAAAAGAAAGCCAGGACCATCAATTATTTAATTAGGGTGCTGACCCAGACCCAAATATTAAAATATTCTCAGAAGTTATAGGCATGAGAGCCTATAAGAGTGTGTTATGTATTTGCATGTAAAAGTATAAAAAATGTGTCTTTTTTCAAACAATGTATGTGAAGTGAGAACGATGTTGAAGATTAAGATGAATTAAAATAAGTGAAGAAACATTATTCCCAGCTCTAAGATATTCATACACTTAAAGCATTCAATCTAAAAGCACTAAAACCATCATTTGCATATTAAATTAAGCTTCTGTTAATTACAGAGTAACAAAGCAACAAGCATAATTTTACATTATTGCTGTACCATGATTAGCTTGGTTTCATTTCTTGTCGTGTTTTTTTCTCTCTCTCACTCAGAGATACATTTATTCATGAATGCCATGGAACTAATGAAAAAATGACAACAAATGGCCAGCTTAGCAACTTAATAAGTGCTTGTGTAATAATTAAGGAGCCATGCGTAACCACCAAATGTTACCGTGTTTGTTTATCTATGAGGGAACACACACACACACACACACACACACACACACACACACACACACACACACACACACACACACACACACACACATCCATGTCAGTGTCCCACTTTCCTCCATTTGCACTCATGACAGCATTAAGAAGTAATTCGGAAGGCTTAATCCACTTAAAATTAGAGGAGGTTTTTAAGGATTCAGACTTAAGGGTGCCCTAAAAAAAATAAAAAAATAAAAAAGAGGATACAAGTCAAAGGCCTCAGGAGACTCTGTGGGATGTAGTAGCGTTCATGTTTCCAAGTGAGAAGAATAGAAATGGAATTAGCATCACGGCATGAGAAGATGGGAGAGGATGAGCGTGTGTTACTATGCGAGCATATTTAACAACGCTGTGTTGTGTTTTGTGACGATGACTTGAGCTGACAGTCCCCACGGACACAGAGTTGTGGCTGAGTTTTGATCCGCTGCCCGAAAGCTCTTTTTTTTCTCTCTCTCCACTCCTCTCCTTACCTCCTGTGTATTTTGTCTCTCTGTCTTGATTCTCCTCCTCCTCTCTACCCTCATCCCCCCCCCTCCCCCGCGCTTATCTGTTTTCCGCTTCTCTCTTCTCATCTACTCTCCTCATTTCTCCCATTTCCTTCTCGCCTTGCTTTTGGCTTTTTCTTGTTTCCTCTCCTCTCTTTTCTTTTTCCTCCCTCCCCAGCAGCTCATGTATAAAAAATAAAAAAATCCCTGAAAATCAATGATGGAGGAGAAGCAGGGAAAAGGAGGAGCAGAGAGAAAGATAACCCTGGGGCTATTCCAGAAGTGCTGAGGCTAGCAATGTCATGAATGACTTGCCCACTGTAAATACACCAGCAATGATGATGAAAAGGGATGAAAAGTGGTTCCCACTACATGATGATAAAAGCTAATGAAGTCATATTTATCCTAATCATGCATATTTGGAAATGTTGGTGCTACATTATTAATTCACTCAACATTCGCTCACACCCTCGCGGTTCCGGTGAAGTATTATGCTGACGATGTTGTGTGTTATGCTCGGGTTTCAAGATGATGAATGAAGGTCAATATTGGGAGGTATTTCACACCTGTGTGACATTTCCAGAGACTGCACATTACACCAAGAGGACAGTGGGTAAGTGAGAAGGTGGAAAGTGTCTGTGGCATTATGGCACTGCATTCCCAACCAAGTCGTATATCTCAGGAAAAAAAAACACAGGGAGGGGGGGAAAAAAGGAAGCTGTGTGACAGAGTGAAATGACTCAAGACCTGATGTATAGTGTTCTATATGTGCCCGAGGAGCTATAAGTGGCAATGATGGGATGTTGAGGGCTGAGGCTGCAGTGTTGGAGTGCAGTAGAAGGCGGAAGGAAGGGTGTTGAGCTGTGAAAGGGCTAAAAAAAAAAAGTCCAGTCAAGTGATGCAAGTGCTGAAAAGGAAACTCAGACGTGTTAGATTGAAGAAAATCACTGCCTCACCACTTTACTGACAAAAATGTGCACATGGAGACAGTAAGGGAAACATACATGGATAAAAACTAAAAAAGGCACATATGCATTGATAGAAATATTCCCAAAACAGAGTCTGTTGTGTCGCATTTGGACGTAGATGCTTTTTAAAAAAAGGACATTTTATCAGCAGTAACGACAGTGTATTGGAAAAAAACCTCTTAAAAGCTGCTGTCTGCAGACCTCCAGTGCTTTAGCATAAAACCATTAAAAAAAAAAAAAACATTATATAAATATATATACATATATGAATTCATGGTTCTGTTCCCTCTGTGAAGTATGCCGGCTTTGTGCAGCTTATATTTAAGATAAAAAAATGAAAAGACAAACGGGATACACGTACTACAATACCCCAGGCAAGGGGGGGGGGTTGAGGAAGTCTCTACTCTTCATATCAAGTCTTCTGACGAAAATGGTAATATTTCTCTTTTATTGCTCACAGAGCCAGGGCAGACAAAAACATCCGCAGTAAGATCTGAGTTTAGAGGAGAGGGTTCTTGACAGTAAAAAAAAAAAAAAAAAGGTAAGAAAAGTCAAATGTCACCAAATCATTTTCTCATAAAGCACCTGGAAACTGCTTCCCTTTTTTTTTTTTTTATAATACCTTGAATGGAATGTGCTGTAAAACCAGAAAAGGGTAGTAAGGGAAAAATTCTTCGACCCTCAACACAATATTTTGCAGATGTGTTCTTTTTGAAAAGGTGCCATTACACACAATATAATTCACCTTTTACACAATGATCACTATCTAAAAAAACAACAACATGTGCAATAGACTGGTGTTTGCATGAACCTGGAAAAAGAATGAAAAGATTCATATTGGTTTTCCTCCCTTCCTATCGTTGACTGTTTGCTAAGCCCCTCCCCTCAACTGTATTTGGCCAGTCATAGCTTAGCACGCCGAGCCTTTCAAGCTTTGATGTTGATGTTTGTCGAAGCAGTGAACAGAGGAGAGTAGAACAGTAGAAGCTATATTTTGTTGATCAGGTGTGTATATGGTTGCTTCTTTTTTTCACTCTCTTTCAACAAAAAAAAAAAAAGGTTAAGAGGCTTTTTGGTCCAACATAAATTTCTGTCTCTTGGCAGATCCGGCATACAAACCTTTAAAAACCAATGTTACTTCCAAGGCCAGTAGCAAGACTCCTTCACAGTTCAGCCTGACAGATATTCTGCAATGCGTCTTTGTTCATTATAGGCTCATATCAGCTATCATCTTTCTGTGTGTATGTTTTCCAATTTGTGCTGATAACAGCACATTCATATTTGTCCCCACAAAAACATACAGATATGCAGAAACAAATGAAAATGTCTATTTTCATGAAAGAGAAAAAGTCCTTAAAACTGTGTGACTATATCATAGTTGTCTTAAGTATTTAAGTACAGAAAATATTGGTTGCCATATCTGTGAATTGGGTTTTTTCCCAAATTTATCAGACTCAGAAATTCCATATCCACTGGGCCAGAGTGAGAGCGCAGCGCTGTGTGTTTGTGCCTGTCCGACTGTGTGTGTATGTAGAGCTCCCGCAAACGCAATGTGTATTCACAGACTGGGACAAGAATATTACGCCGTCGCAATTTCAAAAACGTAATGACGGCTGAGCTTAGTAACAACGCTTTTGCGAAAACACAGTCTGAAAAGCACTAATGTTAAGGGTTTCCTGCCGTCATGTTTCAATGTTGAGTTTGTGTTTAAGTACAGGAGGCGGGGCTAAGCAAACAGTCAATTATCTCTTTGCTTTCTTTCATCTGTCACCCTCCACCAACCCTTGATGTAATAATGTTTACTCACCGTCCTCTGTGGGCACATAGACATTGAGGTAGAGGCAGTCCTCACTCTGGTTCTGGATGTAACCCGCTGCAACGTCCAGGTTGTCGGTGAACCACACTGGAAGCATAATCTCTGGGAGCACGCCATGGACGTTCTGCGGGCACACGGGGGCAAACTGGGTGGCATTACGGATCTCCTGCCAGGACCCCGGGGCCTCGGGCGGCTGAAAGCGTCTGTCCCCAATGGGCGCTGTGGCGTAAGGGACACCAAGGTACTGCTCCACAGGGCCAAGGATCTCATTGTTTAAGTCCTTCTTAATGCCTCGGATCTTGCCATAGTTGGTGGTGACTATGGGGTTTTTGGAAGGGTCCATTTTCTGGCTGGAGGCCAGGCTAAAGAGCAAGATGAGGCCTAGTACACCCATTAGGCACCAGTCTGTCATGAGACTAAGGGGGCGTGTCCTGGGCAAAATACCCCGCCGACTTTGTTTACTTCGGGCGAGTGGTAGAGGGTTCATAACTGGATTCATCTTCAGCCTGCTGCTTCCAGCTTGGAGTATCGGAGTAGTGTCTTTTTAAAACGGACGGGATTTCATCCAGTAGGGTACTAAAACATCAACAGAACCAGGTTCTATAAGACCAGGAGGTGCTGAGTGAAGGTGAGATGAAGGGCAAAGCAGTTGCTAGGAGAAGAGAGGGTCCTAAGGGTGGTGGACGAGGAGGACGGACAACGGTGCCAGATCTCAGTGTTGACTCTTAACAACAGCAATCCCAAAAAAACGCTTCCCAAGCCATGGTTCTGTTGCGTTCCATCCCTGTGGGTCCTCTATAATCCAGATCATTTGATTTGATCAGCCAATGAATACTGCAGAAAGGGGGACAGTCAAAGGGGGGGGGACAAAAAAGAGAAAGGAGGAGAAAAGATAAGAGAGATTATAGTTTATCTGTAACAGAAATATATTCATTAAATACTGTCAGTGCTTTTTTTCCCCCCTTCAAATGTTGCCAAGCGCAAAATATTGCCTGAAATGAAAGCAGTGGAAATGAAACAACAATAATAATCAGTATTGTAGAGATCAAGTTGTCTTGTTTTGGGAAACATTTCAAGTGATAAGCTATGGATTTGGCTTCACATGATGTGAACATGAGGGGCTGGAAAACCTGCAGCATGTAGAGGAAGTTTGAAAAGAGGCAATCCTCGTGATCACATTCTACTTCCCCTCGCTTTGTGCTACATAATCTCTCACCGGCGGAACATCTCATGTACTCCATGTTGAGCGCACATCTCTACATGACTCTTCCTATTTATTATGGATGAAAAGCTTAGACTGGACTTGTTCGGCTTGTCCTGGTCTGACCTGAGTAAGGACATGAACCAGTGAACTGTGTTTATCACTGCTAGCCTATTCCCGCTAACACGCTAACTTCTCTGCACAAAGCTAATGTAGTGCATCTGATCTAATCATATCTTCCTTTGTTTTTTTTTACAACCGCACGGTTGATGCCTCAATACTCATGGTTATTAATATCCTCAAGGCTTCAGGGCAGCCTCTATAGATGAAGGTGCAGTAGGTAATGTAGACAAAGAGAAGAGAGATTAGGGCGAGCCTTTCACTGCCCAGTAAAGGTCAAAGGTCAGTAATGTGCGCCTGTAAGCAGCTTATAGCAGCCCGAAACACTTCCGCGCAACATGCAGAGCACAAAGACCCACACACACATGCACACAGTAAACCCTCATCGACCCACACATGAATCAGTTGCCCACCCACTGTACACTCATTCATGTAATCTACTGCGCAAATGTGCAAATCCTCCCGGAGCAGACCCAGTCAGAAAATGCATGAGGCATGCAGGGGATTAAACCGTCATAGCATTGTTGGACGGTGTTATGTAATGTTAGAGCACACACCTCCTAGAAGTAATGACTGCAGAGGAAAATCTATTTTATGTTCCCTCTATTTCAGTCTTATCTGATTTTTTTTTAAATTCACCATTTTCTTCTTCCTCCTCGTTCACGCTCTTATTTTGCTTTATCGCCATGCTGTAATTGTCCCATTAAAAGTCATCATTAACCGTATTATTGCGTCGCCTGCACCCACCGAAGCGCCTCTGTGTTTTTGTTGTCCGTCCTTCCTTTTCTCCCACTTGCAATAAAGCCATTTGAATTTAAAAAGAAAAGTATGGGAGTGATGTATCCGGAGGCAAGACGGTGGATAATTAGAGTCTATAGGCTGATGAGCAGGCGAGCAGTCTGACTCACTCTGATGTAAGACAGACAAATAATGAAGCTCATTCAAGAAATGATCAAGTTTTTAATGTACAACAGGCTCTTTGAGCGGGGGATTCTTATTTATAATTCTCTTTTACAAAGCGCTAACTGCAACTGAGGTTATACAGTTTTTACAAATACATAAAGCAGAAATCAAGTATATCCTTGATATAGTCATGACTTTGTAAAATGAGTGAGAAGCTCAAGTACTGCCGGCTGTGTTGTTGTCAGAGTCGTGTTTAAATGGACAGGACGGCCGGCTCCTCCCCTTGTGACCCCTTTTGATGTCATTTTGTAATCACAGCCATTCCATTCCAATTTATGTGCAATGTGAGGCTACAAGCTAACTAAAGTGTGCTAACATTAGCATGTTAACACAACAATGCAGGACACAGGTAATTACAGATCAAGCCAAGGACAATATTGTCCATCGCTTGCGCTAAACTCCCCAATGCGAACTCTAGTGGAGGAGGGTTGGAGGTGTGTCACTGGAGGAGAGCAGAGGATTTCAGTATGGTGGAGGTTTTTGTTTTGGTTTCATGCTGGTGCTCAAAGGTGACATCTACTTAATCAAAAAGTCGCACCTTTTTTTTTTAAGGTTGGCAAGATTTTCTTGACTTAACTATCCTACTTGTTTTAAAACGATACAATACCCATTGTTTAAATGATCGACAGTATCGAAAAAAACTACGGATCATATTTAACCCAAAGAGAGAAAGACAAAGTGACCGTATCTATTCAAGTTCACAAGTTGGCAAATGCTGACTAAGAACCTAAAGGCAATGATTCAGTACCGTAAAGTTGCCAAAGTATTTGTTCAGTTTAGACTGTGCAGGAAATTGCTATGCTTGCAATTTTTTTAAGTAAAAAAACCCAAGAAATTACCCAATATTGGGTGCCAAGACTTCTATTTTTGTTGCTGTGGTATTGATATATATATGTTTACTTGTATCCTATCAAAGTTTAAAATTCTGGTATCGTGATCACTCTTTGTCTTCTTTTGCTACAGTTCACTCTAAATATATTGGAGTCTGCCTTTGTTCCTCTCACTGTGGACTTTGTTGTTCTGCCCACGCACCTGGGTGTACATCTGGGAGTGTACCCTCTCACAGAGAAGTGGACAGCACGGTGTGTGCTCTAATTAAACCATGGAGAGTCTGGAGGACGGCCTGCTATTGCACTGCAGGCAGGGACTAGCCCTCCACACACACACACACACACACACACACACACACATCTACACTGACGCACACACACCGACACCTACCATTAAACTTTCATCCTCTCAAACACATAAAAGAGACTGGGAGATAGAGAGGCAGAGATAAAATAGAGCGAGGAAAGAAGCAGAGAGAGACAAATGCAGATGAAGAGGAAACAGGTCCTGGTGTTAATGAAATGCTTCTTTCTGGTCAGCAGAGATCCTTAAGGCTACTTGAGTTAAAGCAACAGGAGACGCTGCATCATTAACCCTGGAGTCTCTCAAAAAGTGGAGATCTAACAGACCCAGGGAGGGGGGCCAAATGCCCTCAACTTTCCCCTCAAGCCTTTGCAGGCGCAGAGGGGCGGCAGAGGCCTACAAAAGCCAGCAACCCTGGTAAGAATCCAAGACCCTGGCAGGCAAGAGTTTGCCTGGAGGGACCTCCAGAATTTCGGGGGTGCATCTGAGTGTTTAATTGCTAATTGGCTCAATTAGAGCGCCTAATAGGTCCGGCTTTGCTGTGACCAGTGGGAGAGCTTAAGTGATTGATGAAGCAGAGAGGGAGAGATGAAGGGAGAGTGGGGGGGACTGGTGGAAACAGAGTTTAGCATGGCAACAGAGCCATATGAAGGCTTTTTCACACAGACACTCAAAGCATAAACAGAATTAAGAGGAAAAACGGGGGACAAAGAAACAGAGTCTGATACTATGATGACAAGTTTTGCCTTAATATCAACGCAGCTTGTAGATGGACAAATTCACTTTATCAACCAAAGACAGGAGAAGAACATAAAAAAAGACTAGTGGCTAGCTCGTTGCAGGACTTACGTCATCACCCCCTCCCCAAGCTTGTGGTGGATTTTCCTGCATATTTCACTTCTCACAAAGGCTTCCCCTGACTTCCTACGGAGAATTTCCAAGGGGGCGGGGCAGGAAAAATTCCAGGTTAAGATGGAGTGAAAAATGTGCACAACCCCAAAATTTCCACAAGTTTTCAGAGGTTTTTGTGCACATTAACAGTGCTCTACATCCACAGACGTAGCACACATTATCTGACTCGCAGACACAGATTTAAAGGAGCATGCTCTCCTGATACACTGTATCTGCAGTGCTATAACACACATGCACACTCATTCATGATTCATTCCATCAGGAGGATGTTGTTTTTTTCCCCGCATTCCCGGGAGGCAGAGAGACAAAGAGGACCATGCAGGCCGTGTGGTGGCAAACCAACAGTATTAACCTCATCTTTATTACACCTTTCCTCCATTTTTTACCTTTTCTTACTTTGTCATCTGAATAAGCTACTGGCAGACACTTTAAAGGGATACTTCACCCGTTGAAACATGAATCTGTATTGACATTGGGTCATATATGTGGAAATGTGAAATATGTTTTGAAGTTGGTGCCTTCTTGGCCGAGAAAAGGCAGAAAGTGTCTTTTTGTCTCATGTTGATGAAAGACACCAAATCCCAGAATGCACAGCACCGCAGGCCACTCCCACTAATGTCCTCTATAAAAGCTAATCGCAACAGCTTCCAGTGACGCAAAAATCGTAATTTTGCGTCACTAGAAGCTCCCTTTCAGACTTAGAAATACAAAGATTTCCCATCTCAGGGGAAAATTAGGGCAGGGTGCACGACCATTCAAAAATACTAGCAGGTTTCTAAGTATCCCTTTAAGGGTGCAATGTAACACAAACATTTCTATTTTCCCATCTTGACCAGTCGGTTTCCTGCAGGCTGTATAGCCAAAGGGCTGCATGAATCAATATTCAGAATAAGCCCCCCATAAAAAGGCAAAATAATGTTCTCAATTTAAATTTGGTACAAACCAGTCCTTTAGATCATAATCCACAGTTAACCACAAGCTACAAGCACTGAGGTGTTAAGAGTCATGCTTCAGGACGCTGACACTGTCACTGCTCTCATAGACTGCTGTGCCCTTCATCAGGCATGGGTAAACCAGGACCTCAGGCTGCGGGCCAGATGCAGCCTGTCAAACACTTTAATCTGACCCACAAATCTGTAAGTGATACAATTTTGTTGCTTAATCTGTTGACCTGAAACGTCTCCTCCCTGTGAACAAATTCTGATAGACGGCACAGTAATGCTCTTATTATTAGGCCCACAGCAAGGCTATAACAATGTCACCATTGCTCAGTACAGTCGATATCCCTTCTACAGCTAAAAAAAAAAGGGAGCTGTGTAAAAGGGAAAGTCGACAGTGAATGCTGAGCATATAACACAGAATGGACAGCTAAATACTTTTCACTAAGCTAGAGAGGAACGCAGGATGACTGATCTGTCAGGAGGCTTCAGAAGAGAACATCACGCAACCATTTTTGCTGCATCTACACCAAAATGAGCGCTTTAAAAAGTAAAGGAAGAAAAGG